CTCCCATCCAGGTACTGACCAGGCTCACACCTGCTTAGCTTCAGTGGGTTCCAGTTGTGAGTTGCAGGGTGATATGGCTGCTGGTGTACCTTGTCCCACACCCCCACAATCATTTACGTAAAGAACTGCCTCCTGTTCTCAGTTTTAAATGCCCTTCCACTTACTTTAGTTTCCACTTTGTTTATTCTGAAGAAGATAGTTCTACATGTTGACTTTGTCAATGCCTTTGAGGATTTTAAATACGTGAGTCAGGTCCAATCATAGTCTTCTCTTTTCAATGCTGAAAAGATTCATTTTTGTTCCCTTGTCAGGTGTAGTGATGAGGCACATGAAGTTAATGTTCCAGTATATTAAAGATAACTACCTCAGCACTTCTGTATCTGGTGGTAAAATAAATTGAAATAATATGATATATAAATATTATATATTTTCCTCCTTCCCACTTCAGATATTAATACCTTAACTTTCTGCAGTTAAGGTTCTTAGACTTTGAAATAGAAAGAACACAGGAGTAGGAAATATTTAATTAAAGAAATAATAAGAAATAAATTTGAGAATACATTGGCATATATATCATGTCTTGATATCTACAGTATGTTTAGGATTAATCCCTAAATCAGAAGTAAAATTATTCAAAAGCACCATTATGTATGCAAACCAGCATCCCTGAGAGGATCTTATTTTGAAGCGAAGTGGTATCATTATGTGTTACTATGTGTTAGCATTCGTTCTCAAACAAAATCCTCCAGTTTTTCAGATAATGTGACAATACGCTAATAAAAACATATTTCTGTGTATTTTTAAACAGATGCTCATGTATAAATATGATTTTTTGTATAAAGAGTAACAACATTTATCCAATCAACTGCATAATTTATTTCTTCATTTGGTTCAATATTGGCTCAGTATTAAAATGGGTAGCAAGCACCAATTTATTTTGTAAATTAAGAACTTAACATTCACTGCCAAAGCAGTAGCGTATTCAAGCCTTTATGTTTAGTGGTAGAGTTCACATGTCTTACATTCCACATTTATTCCAACACACTCAGTGACTGCAGTAACTCTTTAACACACTTCCATATATTTTGGAAAACGGTATTTTCAAGACATACGTTAATTCCATGCTGAAAGGGCAAAAAGGGACACAATGCTTCGCTTGTGGAGCCTTCTTCAGGTGTGTTACGTTCTTTTCTTCTTCACACACTTGAAACCGACACATTGTCTCTTTTTTTTCCTTTCAGCATGGAATAAACCTTTATCTGTTGCTTTGCAGCATAGACATGCTGACAAAGCTCCCTACTTGAATTTATACAATATGGTGTCCATTCTGGGGGTGTCACATCCCCTTTCATCAACAAAAAACGTCACTGAAACCAGGATAAACTCTGACCCGATGTGCCTCTGTTATGTAGCTGTCCCTCAAAGCAATACAAGATTATACATGTCAGAATGTATTGGTAACTTTTAAGAAGCATCTGTTTTTAATCTGCTAAGAGAACATGGATTAGTTTTTTGGTTACTCTGCTTTCACATCATTAGTATTGATTGTAGTGCTTATAGTTGCTCTGCAGCTGATGAGAGGACTTAAGCTAACAGCCAAATTGATTGGGACCAACCACCAACCTGAGGATTTACTCCTCCACTCGCATCACCATTTGTTTTGGTCTCCCTGGTAATGCGTCCTGGGTATTGTCAGATCCCTCGCAGATGATGAGTGCCATTTTATACTCCCAGGTCATCGATGGGCACTGCTAATGAGTGTCAAAGTTTATACTAGTAAAAACCAACAACAAACACTCAAGATTAAATTGAGGGAAGTTGCTTTTTGCAGTTCCAATTTGTCGTCTTTTGACTATGAATTTTAACTGCGTGGAGGCAGATGTTCCCTTGAACATTTCAGCTAAAGTAGGCATAGCTAGTTAGTCTCTCCCCAGTTCTTAAACACAAAAATAGTCACAAACAAGAGGAGGCCATTTAGTCTGTCTAGCCTGTTGAGTAGTTTGAAGCTCATTGATTCAAACATCTCATCCACTCTTTACTTGAAAGAAGCCAGGGTACTGCCTTCAACATACCAGTGTATTTTTTCAATTCAAATATTTATTGTTGCTTTAACAAATACATTCTCAAAGACCCCTGACTGGTCTAACTTCTTTAACTTGTTCATCAAGTCAAAAACATCTAGCAACAATGACTGACCGAAGAGTGAAATGTCAGAAAGCATGCAACCTATTAGACAGCACAATCTTGATGTAAAATTGAACACTTGCAAAGTCACAGAGGAACTTTACCATTTAAATATATGTATACTTACCTATATATAGATACACAATATAGGCGTAGGTATAAAAGTCATTCCATTTACTTTGTGAGAATTGCACTAGAAACACCCAGCCTGCACTTGAAATATGAAACAACGAGACATTCGTATCAAAGTTTTAATGCACAGATGTCTATTCAACTTCATCATTCATATTCATAAGGATGTTGTTGGTTTGTATAGTATTGTGTTTAATAGTGATTATAAAAATTATTGATAGATTATTTATGAGTGTCCTCAAATAAGGACTGTTCAGCCGAAGTTCATCTTGCTGGTCAACTTCATTAAAAATGATCAGTTGCTGATATTTATAAAGATCTTCTGAGCACAGAACTTGAGGTGATCTGGTCTTTTGGACCTGTGATTGGTCTGCCTCCTTTTACATAATAGGATCACATATCTCTTTCGAAAGCAGGATCTTTTATGCTCAGAACAGACTTGGTAGTTCCTGTGCGCAACAGTTCTTGTAAATGTTTTATCAGTCTTTTTACCCGCAGTCATGGTTCACACATGCATCCACTTTCCATTCTCTCTCTCTCTGCTCATGCATGCTCATTCTGGAGAAAGCAAAGCAAACTGAAGAAACAGTATTCAGCACCTGCTATAGCTTAATCTGGAATCTTTCTTTGCTTACTGTTTTCAGTTCAAGATGGCTTTCCAATGACCAGACGGTTTTCTAAATCCGACTACCCACAATTCTTTTTAGGGATGCACAAAAAGTCATTGGAGGCGTCAGTGACCCCCTCAGCAGGGAAGCCCGATGCCACTCAGTCGCCAGCCAATCAGAAACAGGATGAGCTGGAGGCAGAGGAGAGGAGGAAAGAGTCCAAGTCACCCATTTCCAAAGAGGAACTGAGGGAAAACAGCATTGCAGCACTCAGGGCCAAAGCACAGGAGCACAGTGCTAAAGTGCTGGGGACAGTATCCAGTGAGGGACAGGGGAACAAGATGGAGACAGACGACGCAGAAGAGAAAACCAGAGATCCGTTAAATTCTTCAGAAGAGGAAAAAAAATAAATACAAATGTTACCTTTTGAAAACAAAGGACTTTCTTTGTATCTTAGGACTTTTCAGTGCCCTTGCAGTACTTTAAACCTCTATAAGAACTCTTTCAGAATCGTCAAATCTCCGTCACTTTTACAGGTTTTATAAGTGTAACATACATGTATATTCATGTAGTTTTTTTTCTAGCCACGTAATTATGGTTTGCTTCTTGTCTTTCCTCCTTTGCTTTTGCATAAATCTTTCTCTCCGCACAAAGATTGTTTAGCTTCAAAGACAGAACGTCTCTTACAGGTGATACAAACCTACTGATGTGAAAAACACCCACTAGGAGGCAGTCAAGGTCAACAAACTCAGTAGTAAGGTGTGATGTCTTTCATGCATGGTTCTCATGCAACTTTTATTCCTGCTGTATGCATGGTCCTGCACAGGAGCATTGTATATACTGTTTTATTACCTGTCACTGGAAGAAAAACAAACAAAAACTGTTGTCTATATTTTCTGAAATTGCATAAAGACATAAGAGAATAACCTGAATTTAAGCCCTTTCTGCAGTCATATGCAATTAAACAGAGAAAATCAAATCTCTCCAATTTCGGTATCAGCTCATGCAGACTTCAGAAGACTTTTGTCCTGTGCTTAAACCTTGACGCAGTATCCAGTTTTTTTCCCCATGACACTCAGTATACTCAATTTGAGATCCCAGAAATCCCAAAAGGTGTCCAATTTCATCTGAACTTGCTCGTTTTTACTTTCTAAATTATCCAGATCTGTCACTGAAGCCTTGTTTAAATTGACTTTGTTAATTAGGATGGCAGCTAGGTTTGGTTTTACAGGTCTGTATTGGTGGGGCAGGCAAGCTTGCATTCACCATGAAAAGACAGCTTCTCCCTTTTCAGGAGTAAGGATGAGAGCACGTACAAAATAATAATTCTCTGAATCCCATAACTGGAACTTAAACTTGTGATGAACATCTGGGCTCAATGGTTAGTGGGATGTGGCAGCAAGCCCTTTGTTTGCGAATGGAATTCTCTTCCGGATTTTTTCAACACCCATTCCCTTAATAATAACTGTAACTTGTAACTGCAAATGTAACTTACTTTTGATACCATTAACCTACTACACATTGTCTCACCCACTGTTTTGAAGATCTGGTGCTCGATGAAGACATCGCCCTATATCTTGTATCCAGAATGTAACAATGAAGCAGACAAGATTCCAGATTAGAAAAGAACACTGACCCATCTGATAATTCCCATCTAATAATCCTTTTGCGTTTGTCATCACACTCTAGCATAGATAATGCAGACAAAGGCCAACAAGTACTGGGTTTTAGATCTGAGATTGCTAGGAGGGCCAGACGCTCGACTGTACCAAGTGGAACTTATTTGTGAGGATAAAAATTACTTTAGCTGATGACAGGTTTTGCATTCTATTTCTGGACTGTTTTAAGCAGATGTTATCTGGGCTTGAGATAAGAAAGACTCCGGTTTGACCATACATAAACCCATCTCCAGAGAGACAGTTTCTATCATCCTCTCATTTACATTTAAATGCCATTATTGCAACAGCCCACCATGAACGAACACTGATAAATATCTTGTGATGAGTTTAAACCTGACCATTCTCCGGATCTCTCCACGTTACCAAGCAGCTTTAGAATGTACTTCTTCCTGGTGTAAATGGTGTAAATAATGGGAAAATAGCATACCACTGAAGTGTGAAAAACATGAAATATACTTTAATGTAGCTAAGAATAAAACAATGTGTTTTTTGTTTTACCTTTCTGTATGATAAAAATAAAACGTGCAATGGTTATTTAGACAACGCGTGTCGTGTGTCCTACAGTTCTTTCATCAACTTCTGTATTCATGTTTCTTCCAGAACCCCCTCCCTGCCTGATTAGTCTGTAAAGCGCGCTTATTTGTCTCTTTGCAGTTATTTTAAAATTCCTTAAATTTTCGCCAGTACCTTAAGCAAACGAGCAACCTATTAAGAACAAGAAAATGTAAGAATGTAACAACCTCCGCACACATTACAATTCTTAATATATGAATAAATCTTAGTATGTGATGAGTTTGAACATTTTGTTTTTAATCCAGCTGCAGCACTGTTTAGACACCAAAACAACAAATGAAGACATTACCCACGGCTGCAACGTAATGTTACTAACACGATGTTTTAGACGAATTCTGCAGTTGTTTTTCTCAGTCCTCGGTTGAAACTCTTGTATTGATTGAGTTTTTTTAGCTTTTAAAATACTACTCCCGGACAACAGAAAACGAAACAAAAAGGTTTGGTAAAGATGAACTGTCATGATTCCCCGCTCACGCTGTTATATATAAACTACATACATCCAAACGTTCAGCTGGGTTTAAAACGTAACTAATCAGGGTTTAATTTTCTACCGGCCAAACGTCTCCTCCTCTTCAACTCCCTTTAAGAAGACCAAATTTTCTTCTTTCGAATGACGGATAACTGTAGAGATGGTTTTGGACATTTTTGCACTGGGGAATTTAGGGTTTCTTACAATAAAAAAGTTTTAAAACACTTACATATATGCGTTTGCATGAGTTTCCTATGTAGTTCTTGCATTTTTTAAAACGTTGTTAATCCAACTGGGAGAACAATTTCAGTAAGGTGACGGAGTATATTCCTCCGTATTTCATAAATAGGTGCTCTAAAACTTGGGGCGTACAATTCAGAATAATACAAAAAAAATGTTTCCGTCTGCAAGATACGCGGTTTTGAAGAACACTTTATCCGGAAACTTATTTTCCGATTTTTGGAAAGGATTTCCGAAGTACTGCCTGTCAAGGAGCAAAAGTTACAATATAGCCGCTTGCATGCCTGAGGCAGCGGCGTTCACCGGAGTCGGGGATCACTCGGAATTGTACGAGTTCTCCGTCAATCAGGGGGAGCGATTTTGGGGAGCCCTGGGCAGAGAAAGGTTGTCCTGGATAACCCCTTTCCACACCGTCCAGAACTGTGACCTGCGCCAGGGAAGAATCAGGTGGTTTGAAGGAGGACAGCTTAACACATCAGGTAAGAGGGTAACACTTCGTCGTGTGAATAGGATTACGTGGACTTTGTGTTGGTTAAGTAGGGGTTTGTGTTGTTCTCAGCAGGAAAGAGTGATCTCATGTTTTTATAAGTCTGTCTGCGATGTTAAATTCCGTATTCTATCCCGAAAGGCATTAAAAACCTCAACAAAAGAGTGCTGAAACAATTAACATTTTGTTGTGTTTTTTTGGCTTTCCGTACACATAGCATAACGTTGTAACCTTCAGGCTTCATGGCTGTGCTTCATATATCATTCATGCTATTCTGGTGGGCTGAGTGTTTTTTAAGTAAGACGAAAGTATTTTCTAGGGAATACAAACATATCTAAGAATTTCAAATCATTTTTTAAAAGGATTAAGGTAAAGCAAACTTTGCTCAGCATCCTGTTTTAAATAAAGGCTTACTGCTTTAATCCCAGGTGAAAGTATGAATTTACGAACAGGTTATACAAACTGCACTGAAGCCTTTTACCTGTGAAAATGTAATTTCCTATTAATTGTTAATGATTTGGATTTGATAGTTTTGTTGATCCAAGACCTGTGTGGTGTGTGTTCAGGATTCTTCTCCATTCTGTATGTGAGTACAAGACTGGAATGTGCCTTTTTCATTCCAATTTCAGAGAAACTGTGAAATGCTGATTGGTATCACTGGGCTAGATCCTTATTGTTGTACTGCACATGTTGCAAGCTGGTCTTTCAGGTTCTGAGTCATGAGGAGCACGTTGTCCTTTGAACCCTGTGCCCGTGTCGTCACATGAGCCACAAAGACAATGTCGTCCTTCACAAGGACTACACAAAAGAGCAATAGAGAAGGAGGAGAGAATTAAAAGGAAAAACAGTGGGAGGTTCTGTGTTTCTGGAGTCAGCATTTAACTATTGCGCAGCTTTTCTGATCCTCTGCAACCTATGAGACCTTGGTTTTCTGGTTAAGAAATCCCAGAGGTGTTTTCGGATTTTGTTTAACTGTGAAGCCTCCTCTATACAGGATTGGGAAAGAACCAAGTGTTTGGAGTTGTTCTTTGATAAGATTAATTAAATAATTATGGAATCACAGTCCAAAAACTGAGGCCCTTACCGATGCCCAAGTTCGCTATCTCATGGACAGGAAGAAGTGGACATTTCTGTGCCTATAAACCGAACATTCTTTTCCTTCGAAAGTGTGGAGCTGCTGGAAGTGGGAATTATTTTTACTCCCAAGATCATGTCCTTTCCCCTTTGCCAACACATGTGCCCTGATCGTTCTCTGCAGCATTGTTTCCTCTGCACCCAGGCCTTTGCAGAGCACACACAGCAGAGGCTTCTAACAGAGGAAGATGTTTGAATGCCCGTTGTGCTCATACTCCAATACCATTGAGTCCGACACAAATATATTGCATCCTTGTTCTTCCTTTAACAAAGATATATCCTTTATACTGTATATACTTTCCAACCCACAGTGGCTAGAGAAGTGCTGTTTCTCTTACACAGGGTGGTTTATTTGCTTGCTTTCATTACGCTGGGTGTAATTCGCTCATTAATGAAAAGGAGGAGCCAGATGCAGATCCATAAAGGATACTAGAAGGTGGATGTTATAATGTTGTATGAAAGTCAAAGTTTCAAGTCAAGGCATTCCTCTGTGAAGCAGGGAAGAAACTTTTACCTGTTCCTCTGCAGCCTACACATGCTGATGCAGCTGCCTTCTTGAATTCCTCTATGATGTTCGGAGGAAAACTCAAAATGAACAGAACACATTGACTTGTCAGAAAATTGTGCTGTGAACCAACCTGATCTTGTGAGGCAATGTGAGGTACTGCCTCAGAAGGGCGCCAGTGGCACTAGAGAGAACATAACGGAATACGCTGGTTCCATGTGCAAACTTTGTGTGTTCCCAGTGAACTGCCTGGATCGCCATGTCCACACGTGTCCCGACAGAGTGGCCCTGATCTGGGAGAAGGACGAGCCCGGGACTCAGGTCAAAATCACGTACAGGTCTGCGAGAACATCGTTGATAAACCTCTTCCAAAGTGGTGTGGATTTGTATGTCTTCACATAAGGACTAAATCAGTAATTTCACTAGTAACTGCACTGTTGTAGAACTGCTAGTGTATTCAATAAATACATTTACCCCTACTTTCTGAATTTTTTACAGGCTGATTGGTGATAATTACCACTGTTGTGTTTTCGGTCATGTTTCTGTTCTTTCAGGCAACTGCTGGAGCTGACATGTCGCCTCGGGAACGTCCTGAAGAGGCAGGGAGTGAGGAAAGGGGACTGTGTCACTCTCTACATGCCCCCCTGCCCTGTGGCAGTGGCCGCCATGCTGGCCTGTGCCCGAGTCGGTGCTGTCCACAACGTCGTGTTCGCAGGATTCAGCTCGGAGGCGCTGGCTGACCGCATCAGGGACGGTATGCGCTGATGGCACTGCGTGATGTGCCTTTTCCTTTCCAAACAACCGGAGTGACAGACCGTGCCTGGAAAAAATCAACATTTTTAGCTGGGAGTTTGTTGTTGTTTACACAGGCAGTTCAGCTTTCTTGCACCCATTGTTCTGCATTCTGTTCAAGCACGGGAAGGATTTCTGACATCATCATCATCATAATAGTTCAGGTCTGCTTAATTGTATTCATGTTTTAGCTGCTATAATTGTATTTAGATTAACAGTTCATTTTTTTTTGCCACAGATTTTCTTTCTTGCAAAGTTGTGAATAAACAGACTGCTGTCAAGCCTAAGAGTTTTTGGGGGATAGCGTCTTGTTCTGGTAATGTTACAGAAGTTTTGAAGGACTGCAGTCCATGAGGAATGTGGAAGGAGTGAGCGGAAATAATTGCGCTCAGTGCTAACTTTAGCCAGGAGGGAAGTAGTAGGAGTTAAGAGTATTGTCATTTTCTTTTGCTTTTAATGCAATTCTCAGGCTCATGGAGTAGGCTGGCAACTGAATTCTCACCAGCTGATGAAGCAGCAATTACTATGTATAGTAATGTTTGGATAACAATGCAAATTAATTTGACTTACTGCACAAGAATCTATTTTTTATGCATAGTTTGATCTTGATGGCAAACCTTAAGGCTGAAATTCACCTAAGTTCAAGACAGTGTGCTTGTCAGCAATTATTTGAGTAGTTTTCAGACAAGAAAGTGGAGTTATGTTCCCCCTCCTTTTGTTTTGTTTACATTTTGGTATTTTATTCAGTGCTTCTTTGAAAATCTGGTCTGAAGGTTTAAAAAATATGGTGGAAAATGTCGGGGAGCTGTACTCAGGAATCCTTGTGCAAGAATGTCTTCCTCCCGAGTCTTTAACCCTTTACGTCCTGTCACGCCTTGAAAGTCCCTCCAATGTCTGTGTGAACATTGAGTCTGGGCTTCTGGCCTGGTGAGACTGCAGACTCGTGTCAAAACACATGAGACTGCAGAATCAAGGTGGAAGCTAGCCAGAGCTGTGAATTGTGTCTCATTAAAAAAATTACTTTTGGCCTCATTCAAGATACACACTCTGTTTTTCCTTTTGTGTCTAAAAGGGCTTTCGCCAGGCATATTTTTATTCATTGAACTTTTGTAGCAGAATCCTTATTTTCTGAATTTACCTTACACATCAGCATTAAAAGTATAGAAAACAAATAATTCTATGAATCTAATAAAGCGATGTTTGAAAACTTTGTATAAAACAACTTAATTACATCAGAATATTCAAGTTGGGAATATTGAACAGGGGCACAGTGAGAAGTAAATAACATTGTAGTTGTATACAATATAGTTGTATCTGTCAGGGAAAGCACAATGTATAACCCCTTATTTTTTTTTAACGCAAAAAAAAATCAGAGGGTTCAAATCCTTAGTGACTCCTCTGGTTGCTGTCCTTGTTTAAGCTCAGTCCAAGCTGGTGATCACTGTGAACCAGGGCCTGCGAGGAGGCAAGACGATTGACCTGAAGAAGACAGTGGATCAGGCCATCAAGAGCTGCCCCTCAGTGCAGCGGGTCCTCGTCGCCATGAGAACGGAGAATCCAGTTGCCATGACGGACAAAGACGTACCATTGGAGGAGGTACAGTAATGTTTCTCTTTTTCTAATTTACTGTAGACTTCAGGGAGGATTGTAAAGCTGACCTCATATTAAATGTAGATCACAAACAGTTAGAAAAGAGCAGTGTATCTGTCAAAAAATGTTTTCATAGTACTCTGTTTGGAGCTCTTCTATCTGTCCTCACTGTTAATGGCCTTAGTATTAGTTGGTCAATACTGCAACAGTATTCCTCCTGTTCCAAACCAAGGAGAGGCAGTCCTAGCTGTGACTAAACATTCATTGAGCTTCATGTTTCTTGTTCATTATTCTTTTTACCCTTCAAGTCTGTCCTGTACAGTAAATACCTCTTGGTTAATAATCTTTAGCTCTGAATGATGTTTAATCATTAATCCTGATAACTATGGAACATGAACGGTCTTGTGTTCAGTGAAAAAAACTTGTGACATTGCCACCCTGTTTGAAGAAGATAGTAATCCTTCCATTTGGTAGAACTTGCCACTAAAAATCAAGACTAACAACATCATGAGGAATTGCTTCTGGTGACTAATGGGTGATTAGGAAGCCTCATTGATGGATGATGCCAGCTGTACCCTATAGTCTAGTTCAGTTGTCTTCATCATGATCATCATATTGAGGATTTATGCTCCGTGAGCTATGATCTTATGGGCACGATGTTTCTTGATCAGTCTTCTTTGAAAACCAAAGGCGAGCTCAGCTTGCCTGGAACTTGGATTGAAATGGCAAGGTTGTGGAGAAGAGTGCAAACGGTTCTAAGTGCAGCTTCTGTTTCCATAGGAGATGATGAAGGAGGACGTGACATGTGAGCCTGTTGCCATGGAGAGTGAGGACGCTCTGTTTGTGCTGTACACCTCTGGGAGCACTGGCAAGCCCAAGGGCCTGGTCCACACGCAGGCTGGCTATCTGCTCTACACATCTCTGACACACAGGGTAACTCGCCACCTCTTCCTGCCAGCAGCACACATTACCTAATGCACCAGAGACGCAGCTCTGTGTCTGTCTAACTGACCTGCTGAAATAGTTTATATGTCTGCAAGAAGTAACTTGAGGCCCTCTGTCCTGCCCTGTAAGTAAGAGTGTAAGTAGTCCACCTTACTGTGTGCAGTAATCTGTCTTGTCAGACTGATAGGCTTTCTCTCTCGGTGGAAATGGCAAAAGTGTTGTGCTAATGTAGGAGTCGGGCCCTGCGGATTACGGGTTGGAAAGTAATTTAGCTGCCTTCGCGTCAAGAGTGGAGACCGCTTGCAATCCAGTAAAAGGGGGAGAAAAGTGCAGCTGGCCCAGAGACAGCAGGCCAAGCTTTCCTGATCTGAACACATGGCCAGCAAACACTTGAGAAACAAATAATGGTGTTGGTCCCACTCTACAGCAGAGCATTGAATGCCTTTTAATACCCTTTCAGGTAGGAGAATGAAATTATATCTGTACTTTTATACTGCAGAGTGGATTCTTGTATGTAACATAAAAAAATGACTGCTTTGCACAGCGATGAAATCATAATACTCAGACAGATGGAAGCCACCCACATTCATTTTAATCTCTCCACCCCCACAGATGGGCCAGCCAGTGATTGTTGCAACGCAACAAGGTCTTATTTACTTACTCCAGAGCCCTTCTTACAAAAAGGTCATAGCACTTAATTTCGCCACCAAAAAAGTGTTTTCTGTTTATTTTTGTAATTGCTGCAATCATGGGATGGAAGTTTTGCTTGCTTTGATCACTGCACAAGATCACACACTGTATATATAGCATCCAGGAATCTAGCTTTCTAAAACAGATTTAAAGTAATATAGAGTTTCATAAGACTTGTGCAACATGTCAGGTATCAATCTCATGTGGTTTATGTATCTGCATTTTTCTTTTATTGGCTACAGACATAAATCAAGTATTGACATTAGAGCAGTTAGGCTTTACTTCATGGCCTAATCATGCCAGAGAAGCATGTTGAAGTTCAGCAGGTTGCATTTCTGATGTCAAACAAATAGAAAATTAGACAGATTTATAAAATTAAGCTGTATATATTCCCCCCTTAAAAACAATGACGGCATTTTTTAATCTCATTTATAAAACCACCATCAGGATTAACACTGGTGATGCGACAGTCATGTTGGAAAAGGGCAAAAGCATTTTAAAAAGTGACATACACTTTCTCTGTAGTTTACTTTTTGAACCAATGAATTTTCTGTTGTTTTGGGAAGAACAGCCAAGGACATTTTGACCACATATTCTGTATTAAAACCATATTAATTTGGCCCATCTGGATGTACTACTAGCCAATTAGTGTAAGGTTTACTGATGGAAAACGGTCGGCTTCAACATCATGGCTTGGTAACTTGTTCCCTACTCCCACCACCCTTTATGTGAAGAAGTGCCAAAAAAGTGTCTTTCAACACCATATCAGATCCACACCTGCAGGTGAGCAAAGGGTACCTGGTTAAGTTCACACACACACTTCAGCGACCGTTTGACAGCATAAACTAGGCAACACAACACCTAATGGAATACAAAATAAGTAATGTGTTTTTGAAAAACATAACACTTGAGACGCTTTATCAAAGGTATTCTAAGGATACTAATTGTTTCTCAGGTTATGGTTGTAAGTAATATCCTGAAATGTATCAGATGGGCAAATCTAGTTAATACCCGCCTCAATAATAGACAGAGAGTCTGTGGTGGGGAAAAACGCTCTCAGTCAAAGCAATGGAAATGCAAATCTTCTATAAACATTGACAAGAGGCTTATCCCCGAATGTAATCCCATACTTTGCTCTGGTAATTCAGTAGCCAGGAAATATAGAGTAATTCTGGAAGCACATGAACTTCTCAATACCACAAGGCTTTTTGTTTCTCTGTCCAGCTCCCAATGAAGGTTTACAGTTTTTTGTAAGGTGAGCTGAAGCCTTTGTCTTGCATCACGATCAGAAACAAAAGTTGTTGTTTTTATTGGGCTGAAAAAATTGAGTTTAATAGTTTGATAAAGCCCCCTCTCTCAACAAGTTGATGGGTACCTATGTCAACTATCAGAAATGAAAAATCATCCACTGAATGATTTTTATGATGACCCATCAAGTAATAAAAATGAATTATTTTATGAGTAGGTTTGGTCAGATTATGAATCCCTGATCTATTTTTCTTTTGTCATACTTGCAGAAGAAAAGCAACCTGTATCTTTGAAAGCTGCCAGCTCTCTGTCCAGCCTTCTTAATGACACTGCCATGTTTTTTTCTGCAGTATGTGTTTAACTACCATGATGGGGATGTATTTGGCTGTGTTGCTGATATTGGCTGGATCACAGGACACAGCTATATTGTTTATGGTCCACTCTGCAATGGAGGAACTACAGTCCTGTTTGAAAGCACTCCAGTGTATCCCAATCCAGGTGAGAAGGACAACTCTGATCCTCTTATGATCAGAATACTAGTACAAAGGAGGCATTCAGTATAACCTGTCAAATAACACAGCGCCTGTTCTCACAACATCATGAATTTTAGCTAAAAAAGCAGGAAGAGGAAATGACAGAGAGGAATAGAGCAACATTGTAACAAAACATGTTTGTGCCTGTCTGCTCCTTCAGTAAAGAGCCAGTTGAGTAAGGTACCGTACCTTAAACAGTGTAAACAGCTTTTATACAGACATCTGAGTACCATGATTAGATTTCTTAAGTAATGTATACTTAATTGAGCGTGCAGGAGAAGTTAAGGTGTTTTTTTTACAGTAACCCAGAGCCTTTGAAATTCCATGTTTCTTGGTGGTTTTCTGTCTCCTCACAGGCAGGTATTGGGAGACCGTGGAGAGGTTAAAAATCAGTCAGTTTTATGGAGCCCCAACAGCAATTCGGCTTCTGCTGAAATATGGTGATGACTGGGTGAAAAAATACGACAGATCGTCTCTTAAAACCCTAGGCTCAGGTATGCCAGATTTTATAGGACCTTTTTAGGCAGCTCAGTTGTTGCCGATGAATCTGATGAACAAATCACTTTTGTTACTTCTCAGATATTGACAGCAGAGAGAGGTCCACAGCCAATAATTCTAAATGCCATAGAAATGCTGTATGAAGTACTTGTATGGATATGCTTTCTGAAATATTTTCATAATGGCTAGTGTGTTTATAGAGTCCTTTAAATACAAATTACTGGGCTACGGGTTTAAGAATATTCTTGGGTGACAGCATTACTCTTTGTCAAAATATTGATATGGCAATACCTACATGGCTTTATACAGTTCTTTTGCAAATTAGTGAGTTTTTAAATAATATTAATAACAGTGCTTATTTTATTTTCTATGAATATGGAATATCTTGCACTATAATGTTGCAAGACTGAAGGTTAACTGCCTTCATATAGATATGGATTTAAAACTACTTTGAATTGCAGTAGTGTGGTACTGTTCTTTATCTCATAAACTGAGTGCCGCCTTACTGTTAACATAAAGTTTTACACAACACAGTTTGTGCCTCCTGCAAAGATCTCTCACAGGACTTTTGGTTCCAGGCTATTGTTTTCTGTAAATCAATGGAATTGAATGCCTGTCTGGAGCAGATTGTACCGTTATCAGATATTTCTGTGAAGATTGAACTCTTTGCAGTGACACATATTGTGATTGAAAACAGTTGATAAAACAGTAGTTTCCTGCAAATTAATTATTCTGTTGTGAGCTTCTGTCTCACCCTCCGGATAGATTTCTGTAATTTTCCTGATATCTTATATAACTGATATCTTCTCTTGCGCATTTACATCCTGTGTATTTTATTCTGCAGAAAAATGTTCAATCCTAACGGAAAAAGTGCAGATATTTGTTAACCTTTAAACTGATTTGTTCCCAGTGGGAGAGCCAATCAATCTGGAAGCCTGGGAATGGTATTTCAGGGTTGTGGGAGATGGGAGATGTCCTGTCGTGGACACCTGGTGGCAAACAGGTAAACAGATCCAGCTTTTAGCTCTGCAGCTCTCAGCGCTGAGAGGGTGGGGCCCTGAGGAAGAAAATAGCTTTGCCTGATCTGTGCCCTGTGTGCACATTTTAAATTGTTAGTTCTCCAATGAGCAAAGAAGCAGTACACAGGACTTCAGTTTAGCCACTGAAAATTGTATAACTTACTTTGTTTGAAGTCGTTCAAGTGGGTAGGTGCATCAACATGCGTAGGCTGCAAAGAAACAAGAAACAAGGTGAAGGCTCCTTGAAAAACGTTGTTTCGGTTCTTCTCTTTTAGGCATGGAATAAACCTTTCCTTGTTACTTTGTTTGAGCTGTTTTTCAGCTGTAAAAAATCTGTACAGTACTACCTTTTTGCTCCGTGCTTCTGCAGTTTTAAAATGTTATTTGCACCATTTTTATTCACTTGCCAGCTCAGATACATTATTACATAACTCTGTTTAATTTCTACTGTAATACAGATACTACGGAGGATTTTTTTTTTCTTTTTGAGAAAAGTATGGCTTTTGCATTTTCTGATTGTAGCATTTCTTTTGTGTTTTTTTTTGGTTTAGTTAGCTATTCTTGCTCTGTTGGCAGTACATTTTGCGGTTTGCTTTACGGGTCCAGATCTGGATGACTGACAACAGAATTGATGGCCTTCCAAGCAGCAAGGAAAGGCTGTAATGTAGAGTTCATGCACTTTAAAACAGGCTGCAGAACAGCTTTTGACGCCAATCAGGCATTGTCTTAAAGGGAATGAGCTGTCTGCAGAGTCCTGTAAGAACTTGGCAGCTTCAGCAAGGAAATAGGTTTCTGTATCCCATTACTCTCTGTTGTTCACTGGCATGGAGAATTCACATTCCTATGCAGTGAATTCACTCCAGATGGTTTTCTGATATAAGCAGGCGGGATGTTGACCTTAAGTGTGGCTTTTATACAGTAACGCAAGAAGATATTGTCACAGTTTGACGTCTGCTTCCAATCCTTCAGTTATACTCTTAAGGAATGCATGTGAAAAACTGGTTTATACAGTTCTTTTTAAGTGGTCCCTGCAGGGAGAGCTGTAGGTGTGCCTTTCATGTGTAGAAATGTTCACTGAGACAGATCTATCTTTCACACTTGACGGAGAGGTTAGTTCACACCTGGGCGGCACCTCACAGTCTCCCCTAAACCTCTCCAAGTGGAAATCTCTAAATATGCAAAGTATACTGATGTTTCCACGATAAAATTCAAGTCAACATTCTCGCCTTGAAATCAATGTTCATATGGGAAGTAATTGGATTTTTTTCTGGAATAGTGCAGAGTTAGAATACTTGAGAAAACTGTTCTTGAAGAGTAAAATTGTTTTTTTGTAATGTGTACAAATTACGTTAAGATTTTTTAAAACACCTTCCGAAGAAAGGACGGAATATTTTTTTAAACTGAAAATTCATATAATATCACTGTGGGACTTATACGTACTAACAGTGTTACACAGAGGAAATGTAATTACCTTCTTATACAGACAAATGCTAATAATAAAACACTACAAAGCTTTTATCTGATTGTATAATATAATATGACCCCAACACTCCATCACAGTAATGCTTAAATAAGAGGGATAATGGTTTTAATTTTTTGCAGTTTAATAGGCTTGGCAGTTAGCTGTAAATGACATTATTAATAATTAACAGATCTATAGTACATTTATGGATGCATTCTGGTACAGTGAAAATCACAGACAAATCTACTTCTCCCCCCCCCCTCTACTTCCCCCCCCCGCCACACACACACAACCAGCAGACTGTTGGCACAAGAGGAAAATTTCCCTCTCGATCACAGATCACCCCTGAACTGGAAACTCTGCAGGAAGGAGATTAAGAGTCAGAAAACTGCAAGCGCAGTGTCATCAGATAATTGATTTACAGTGTATAATTCTATTTTAATTACATTTAATTTACTTAACATAACTGTAATTAATTAATTGACATCTGCCATGATGATCCCTGACTTTTTCCTGTCCTTGCCTTCCCCAAGAGACTGGTGGGATTTGCATCGCTCCCAGACCGTCCGATCCTGAGGCCGAGATAATCCCCACCATGGCCATGCGGCCTTTTTTTGGTATTCAGCCCGTTCTGATGGACAGCAAGGTGACGAGTGATCTGCACACTCCTGGCGTAGCTCAAGAGCAGCCACGCACTCATACTGGGGCTCTTGGATAAACCTAATAGAACCCCAGACTTTGCTTTGCACACATCTGTGAATTACATTATCGGTAGTTTAGGGATAGTTTCCCACCATTGATTTATCCTGGCTGAAAATACACTGGATCTACTGTACTCCTGCACTATATACAAATATTAATAGCAAACGACTACTCCAGTCAACTTTAAATTGGATGCGCGTTATTTAAGTAACCATCTGTATGAAGCAAAAGACTTGTAGTTCCATTCGTTAAAATCACTACTTACAAAGTCAGCAGGAATGCATGCTTTCAGTACATGGGGTCTGTAAGGTCTTTCGGTTATGATATCAATGTGAATTGTTACTAGTAAGCTAATTATTTACCAAACCAGCCAAGTTGTTGATGATACAGGGGCAACAATAAGACATACAGGGCTGTGGTCACCAGAATATTTATTGAGGACTTTTGGGTTATGGTTGTGAAAAAATGACTTGGGGAAACTGCAGTTTCAGTGGATATTTTTTTTTCTTAAAAACAGGGTAATAGGATGTCTGCTAACAACACTTCGGGAGCACTCTGCATCTCGAAACCGTGGCCTGGTATGGCCAGGTCCATTTACAACGATCACCAGAGATTCATAGAGACCTACTGCAAGCCTTACCCAGGTACAAGATAAAAACGTTCATATCGGAGAATGTTTCTTTTACAACTTTTTCAGATTTGTAGTGAAGAGCAACACAGGAGCAGTGATAGCCTGGAGCAATACTAGTGTAATAATGCTAACGCTTACTGTATATGGAGCTTTTCGGTACACTCCACCCAAAGCGCTTTACAGGTAATGGGGAATCCTCTCCACCACCACTGGTGTGCCGCCCCACCTGGATGATGCGACAGCAGCCTTAGTGCACCAGTACGCTCCCCACACCCCAGCTCTCAGTGGGGAGGAGAACAGAGTGGTGAAGGCAACTCATAGATGGGCATTACTAGGAGGCCATGATTGGTAGAGGCCAATGGGAAATTTGGCCAGGACACCCCTACTCTTTTAAAGAAATGCCCTGGGATTTTTAGTGACCACAGAGAGTCAGGACCTCGGTTTTACGTCTACAGGGTGAGCACCCCTACTGGCCCCACAAACACCACTTCCAGCAGCAGCCTTAGTTTTTCCACATACTGGCCAGGCTTACGCCTGCTTAGCATCAGTGGGCTGACAGTTGTGAGATGCAGGGTGATATCATAAGGGTGATATTAAAATGCTAATTATGTTGTTAAGTGAAGTCATCATTCTGCTGTTGCCCAGATCACTTTTTCACCGGCGACGGCGCGTACCGTTCAGAGGAAGGCTATTACCAAATTGTCGGTCGCCTCGATGACGTCATCAACGTCAGTGGGCACCGCCTGGGAACTGCGGAGATCGAGAATGTGGTGGTGAGTAATTGCAGCCTGACCCTCTGCTTTCTATGATTTAAAAAATGTTTCTTCTGTCCAAAAGAAGCAGAATATCTTTTTCGTCAGAGTAGCTCAAAGCATTTATCACATTTGAATTTCTAAAGATTCTGAATGTTTACAACCAGGTAACAATAACCGTATACTTCAGTTCGCATTTTGTTTTTGTTCATATAGTCAGATCTTAGAAAGATCTTGGAAGCTGAGCAGGGTTAGGTCTGGTCTGTATTGGGATGGAAGACCAGGCTGTTGCTGTAAGTGGTGTTTGCGGACCAGTAGCTGGTGCTAATGACCAGAAAATTCTGTCCTATATCCCCGTGTAGTGACCAGGGACACTGTGCTGAAGGAGGTGCTGTTCTTCAGATAAGATGTTAAACTGGTGTCCTGAGAACTTGGCACTGTTTGTAAGCGTAGGGGTTTTAACTCTGGGCTTCTACAGCCTGGACTCCATAAAGAACTTTTAATTAGATTTACAACTTCTGTAGACAGTTTTATCGCTTCTCAGCATAATGTGATGTGTAGTAGGGCTGCTGACCCATAAGCATCACAGAGGTGGGTGACCAATGTGTTTAGTGCTTTGGACTCCTGGATGAAAAAAGCTACATATAGGCAAGAAATGCCATTCTCCTTCTTCAATCTGGTAGCCTGCTGTATTTGTGTCTCTTTCAGAATCGGTGTCATGGTGTTGCAGAGTCAGCAGTTATAGGTTATCCGCATGATGTGAAAGGACAAGGTAAGAGAAAAGATTTGGTGAAACTGAACCATCTCTGAACGTTCAGCTTTATGGAACACTTTAAAATGGAAAGATATTGTGTTTGTGGTTTTAATGAGGGAATGGATTAAACACAGTTGACAATTTAATCCTAACAGGAATTCAAATTATTAAACTGAGCTAACGATATAACCTGGATTAACATGGGTTTACACTTGCTTTGTGAAATAACTGAACTATGACACAGATGGTTTTACTTGAATGTTTAGGGCAATAATACCAAGATCGACCTAGCGAATGATAAAGGTTTATGCAATGCACATAGAAGACAAATCATCTTCTAAAGGATACAGTTCAACCACTCCTCGATGTTCTACAGGTGTCTACGCATTTGTAGTACTGAAAGAGGAAGTAGATACACCAGAGGCCCTCCTGGCCCAGCAACTGAAGGACATGGTTTCCAAGACGATTGCAAAATATGCTGCTCCTGACTACATCCAGGTAAGCAAACAGCACGCACATGTGACCATCGCGGTTCCGCGCGGGCTCATGCCCTCGCCGCTCCACCCCGCCGGTTCGTCCCACAAACCCAGGTCTCCGGCGTAATACAACAGGGAACCAGCCGAGTGAGCTAAAGGAGACCTCCCTCAGCCCAGGCGGCTGAGGTCCCTGCTATGCACAGGGAGGGCGATGATGTCACCGAGCCCAAACTAGCTCCACTACATCCACACACACGTACACACACGCGCCGAGTTTCCAGGGCAGAATGTCCCCTGGCTGTTTCAGCCCTGTACCTTAGCAGTTTTCTTTTAATACACTGGCTTTGTGAAGCTACCAAGATACCAGCTAAACCTTATTAAAGAATTAAGAGTCTGGGCTTTGAATCATGACTGTTTAGACAGTAATATCTGTGTTGATATTTTCTACTTCACTCTGGTATTCCTTGATGGTGTGATATGACAACATTGGTTTTCCATTGTAACGTGGTAAACTCTGTACTCCTATTTATTATGTGGAAATTAAAACCGCGTGATGTGTGCAATAAATAATAGCTGAAGAATGCCATTCCATTTCATAAATGGTCTAATACTGCATTTTCAAGCTCTTCCCATCAATGAATACATATATGTTATTAAAAGAGATTTGTTGTAATGGATTTCTGTGCAGTAAATGTAGCAGATTAGTGCAATGGGTCATTAAGCATTAGTCCATGCCTACATATACATGTATCTGTCCCGTTGAGTGAGCAGGCAGATTAGTCTCCCAGGACTTGCTCTTGTAGATGAAGGATTAGGGAGACATGTTGAGGCAGAAAATGTATATGTATGTGACTAATTAAGAAATATGGTATACAGAACCACATCTTTGTTCCAAGAGAAGTACCTGTGTGATAATGATAAATGGTCAGTCATGATCAAGATGCATGATCCTGGCTGCTCTTATGTTTTACTTTGTAGCGTTGTTGTTAACAGTCGAATATTGAGGCACATAGCTGTTTTCATACATAGACAATTCATGATTAGGTGTCATTGGTCATCCCCTCTCATTCAGTCTGGAAGCATCCTTTTACTCCCTAGTGTTAAATGAGCAAACCTTTCCCAATTTAAATTTCAGTTTTTTTTAGGTATTTTTTACCATTATTATTTATTTTGTTACATTTCCACCAGATTTTAAAATCACGAGTTCCATGTTTTTTTTTTACAATCACCGCGACCACACACGAGGGAGATAATCAGGAAATATAGGTGAACTTCTCAGACCCTGCCCACCTTCTGGCCCCTCCACATTTATGACATCACAGGCAGCAGAGCCGTGTGAGAGGTTCCGGATGGAGCCTTCTGTCCAATCCAGGCCCGGCAGCTGCAATGCGTGTACTGTGGGTTGTTCAAAGCAAAAACTTCTCTAAGAATGTATTGCTTGAAGCATAAAACCTTTAAGGCAATATTGATCACATCTTTGTACTCGGAAGTGGATGATTTTGTATTTTTAGTTAAACATTTGGTTTGACTCACTTTGTTCAGGTTGTGAAACGGCTGCCCAAGACGCGTTCGGGGAAAATTATGCGCCGCATCCTGAGGAAGATTGTGGAAGGGAAGGTTGATGAACTAGGGGACCTCACTACACTGGACGACCAGAGAGTTGTAGAGGAGATTATCGAGGGGCGCAGGCTCCTCCTGGATTTAAACCAAAGCAAATAACCTTGAGGGGAAACAGTGAGTCTCCCGCTCATACCAGATCGCGCCTTTGACATGGTGTAACTTGAGAAGCACCATGTTCTGACCCTCTCCTGCACGCTCTGACCCTCTCCTGTCTAGAAAATGAAATATGTTTAAAAAAAAACAGGAGACGTGAAGAACGAAGAATGGATCTTTTCATATGGCCGTTCTTGAACTGGTGCCATCTATTCACAGCATAAAAGAGGAATACTGTCTAAGCCGGTACGACATCAGTACTTAGAAGCTTTTATGACAAGGATTCCAAAGCTATTTTTTAACTTGATTTTAAACGCAAACAAATAATCAGGAATTAATTGAAGAGCTATATATAGCACCTTTTCTGTGAAAACAGATTCAATTATTTGTAGCCACAAACCCTGGGGCATAGCAGTTAACAGGGAGAGGGTTCCACTTCATGATTGCGTTCTGCTGTTAGGTATGCATTAATAACAAATTACCTCTCGCTGCAGGAGCTGAGCAATAACTGAATAGCAGCAGGGATTAGATGCTCTGGTAGCAGAGCATAAAATGTGAAATTTAAGTCCAGTGACCACAGTAATTCTTTATAGTGTAACTGAGGTGTCTACATGATATGTTTATCATCTAGACCTTAGGTTTAATATAATTTTCACGCTTTTCTAAGTGCAGCTATAGTTAGTCACTTTACCACTTGGCTGTTTTTCTTAAACTGGTCTTTGGCTTTGTAGGGTCTTGCAGTTACAATTGTTCATTTATAAGTCATACAAGTAGAACAAAATGTAAAGCATGAAGAACAAATGTAAATGAAGGTCTGTAGTATGCCATTGAATAAAATTATAAAAGAAATACAATTGTTCATATAAATACGTATTGCCAATAAATATGCAGTGTGTTTCAGAAAATTTGAGGTGGGGTTGTTTTCATTCTCAAATATATGTGATATGTTGTATATATTTTCATGTCCACACACACACTACACACTGTTATATCTTTGTATCAGCTAATTAAAGTGTATTTTCTAGGTGCCATAGGAGTGTCAAGGCACATCTGCCAATAGTTTTATTAAAAAAGATAAATCATTATATCAAGGCATCACCTTTCCTAATTGAATTTGATTCTAGATTATAAATCCATTATTATAAATCCAAATAGTGCTAAGGTACCAGGCACAACTGAATTACTTTACTGATGCAGCGAAGACTTGGTTTTGAAGCTAAATTGAAAAGTGAATATTCATTTCTGACATTTTAAATGGAGGACAGCAACTGTTCGTGAGGTTGCCTGCAAACACTGCACATCGATACCCCTCTCTCTGTCAGAGAGAGACAGTGGGTTCTCTCTAGTGCTGTTGGGGAAATACTGGACATAGACAATGAAATTGGCAAATTCAGCTGTGTTTTTCAAATCATGTTCTATCCATCAAAAATGCTACAGCATCTGGGGATAATCCACGCCCACACCAGTAAAACATGAAAACTCCACATGTCATATAAACATCTGTGTTTTTATATTGTATACAGAAAATTGTATACAGAAATATGGTATACAGAACCACATCTTTGTTGCAATTAAGTATTGGCTTACTGGTGAAATTTTCACAGTTCAGATTTACTACACTGACCACAACAAGTTCACAGATTCACATGGAAAGATCAACAGATTGAAAAAGTTAGTGGGGAAATGGCATTCTTTGCAGCGGGTGCTCTAACATTTCACTAAACAGACATAAGAATGGCAGATTCATTATGCTGATCAACGTTTGTCATCGACAGGATCGGTCTAACGGGGATATCTGTGAAAGTAAAGTGTATGACCACCGTTGGAAGCAATACAATTTGTACATCTGTGACTTGTGCAAAGTACTAGTTTGAGATATTATATATACATACTATAGTGTGATGTATCTAGTAAATACATTATTTTTTCCTGTTAGGATTTAAGCTCCTATTAGTGCTAAACAAGTCCCAACTAACCACAGCTTGCGTCTTTAATGATGCAAATAATTGCCTCAGGTTTGCCCTTGGGAATTGTTAATCCTTATAAAACACTGGAAGCAGTGGCAAGCGCTGATCAGAAAATGTACAGCTTGGTTTTATCATGTGTCTGTGCTGTTCTGGGAATATTTGGCAACAGCCTGGTCATTGCCATGAAGAAGAAGAGCAAAAGCAGAGCGCGGTTCAGTAGAATGCTGGAGATCCACATTGCCTGCGGAAACACACTCCACCTTGTGTTCAGAGTCCTGTCCGTGACAGTGCCCATGTCCTTACCCTTCTGCTACCCCATGAGTGGTGCCTGCAAGTTTGTGACCTCGGTGATGCACACGGGCCGCAAGGTCAGCGTCTGGTGCATCGTCATCCTCAGCTGGTACCGCTTCTGCAAGATGAAGAGGACTACCCACGTATCTCTCTGGGTCTCCAGACTCGAACGTTCTACCAAGGTCAGCACGTTCCTGGCGTTCCACTGGCTGGGCTGGGGCCTGCTTTATGCCCCTTTATTCCTGATCCGCGAGACCCTGGGCAACAACTCCACGAAGACCTGCATCTGCTCCGTGGCCAACGTCGCAGGCAGAGAATCCCGATTCCTAGTCATCTACAGCACCCTGTACCTGCCAGTGCTGCAGTACACGGCCGCTGTTTTAATGACTGCCTTCAACGTCAAGACCCTGCACTTCCTGTTCAAGTGCCATGCCCATGTGTCCTCCTGCAGCGACACATTGGCGCGGCGAGAGCTGTGCCGGGAGCAAGGTGCGGCCGTGACGCTGCTGTGCCTCGTGTGCGTCTACGACACCTGTGTCCTCCTCCAGTCCATACTCACTTATGGCTTCATTGGCACACTTTCTGCCGACATCGGGAGGACGGTGTTTGACTTGTATGGCACTCTGATTCCTTATATCATTCTATTAGGGCACCAGGATGTCAGACTGAAGTTGACCAGCTTCTGGGCAAGGTGCTGCACAACACCACCTCGGCCAGATCCCGCGGCCAATATCATATCTGTGTCTTAAGAGACAGTCAAAGGCTTTTTCCTTTGCTGATATACAAGATTTGAGAACCGGTGCCGGACAGTTTATTTCCATGTAGCATCACGCAAAAGCTGAAAACAAAACGTTCTTAGGATGTCGACGAGGTCCGCAGAGAGGACTTCGTCTGTTGTGTCGAGTATGGATTGTGTACCACTTCTAATTGGCTGTATTGAGGTGTTTTGCAACGTTTACTGCTGCTGTTGCTTTTGGTAACACATACTGTACACGTTAAGCAGCACAGGGAAGTAAAACTAAATTATTTGATTTCCTGTACATTTTTCTGCTTTTTCACTTCGCATTTTAATTACGCGTCAGGGTTTATTTTGTGTTATTTTGCAAATATCAGATAGAGCCATGGGAGTCAGTTTTAATTTGTGTAATACAACTACTGTTTTCCAAGCTACATGCATGATTGCACTTAATAGCACAAAACTATAGTTTAGGATTATCTGCATGTTAAAATATATTCTTATCCTCTTTTCTCAGTGTTGATTTGCATCCTGTCTTATCAATATGGTAGATGAGAATTGTCAGTTTTCTGTATTGTCAGTTCTTTAACTGCATTATTATTTTCTAAATCCTGGAATTATTTGGTTTTTGTACCTTAATATTTTTAAGAAATATTTTGTGTTTTTGATATAATACTACAATATTTTAAATGTATACTTTTTCAAGGTGCTTGAAATGCTCTTTCATATTCATTTGTAAAATGGTATGATATAGCAACTTGACTGCATTTTCTCAGTCTCATTTCATTCCCAGTTTTTCCCAATTAGTAGGAACATTATCATGAAACATGATCATTTTCATTTTATTTATTATAGAAGGTAATCATTGCTGTAGTAATACATCCTACTGTCTGGACAGGTTGAAATATAAATTGTTCAGCATAATTTATAACAACATTGAATGATTTCTATAATAACCTAGAAGTTAAGATTTTTTAAATTTGAAACAGTTCTAACAAACTTCAGAAATTGTTGCATTTTAGCAAAACAATTTTGCAAAATGAGAAAAGGAGAATTTTTCAAATGTTTGAAAAATGTAATGTAATGTCCAGTTTAATAAATAATGTGGTTACACAAAATCTAATTAAGAATATTAAACATACAGCTGTTAAATATAAATTCAAAAATCAATCAACATTTTATAAACAAAATGATCAATTTTTGTCTTTACACATTAAAAGTTGCATGAAAACATGTTCTTCTTATATAAAATCTAAGTTCATTGGACACAACCAAAGTATATTAGCATGCAAGACAGGAGTGATACTGTTTAGAATTTAATTTAAATCATGACTGGAAAAAATTGTATCCCTAAACTATATTTTTGCAATAATTCAATTCACACTTGACTGCCACCAGAATGGAACTACCCTGGCAACACCAAATAAGTCTTGTAGTGACAATTCAAGGAAATAAAATAATCCGTCCTTTGGGATACGCATTAAAGGTCAGTTTTAATTAATGCAAAACTTTGGAATGGAATAACAGACCTTTCCCTTATGCTTTATACAGTATGCTTAAAAACACAGTAACTAGAAGTAAAGAAGTGTTGCTGGTCAAGACCAGTCGTGAAAAGCTCTGCTCTTGGCTGATTCTAAAAAAAAAATCCATAAGACCAGTGCATTAAGTCTCATTAACAGTACATACATAAGGAGAAAACGTGGTCAGATTAAATAAAGTAGATGAAGGTTTGACATCTTTTTTCTGTATTAATGGCCAATGGTGAACCCATTCTACAAAGAACAGCTCCTAGTTTCACTGCAGTTCATTAAACTGTTTGCTGGTCATTCACTAATAGGACATCTGAAAACCCTATTAGTGACATGATGTCAGTATATTACCTTTCTGTTCTCCCAATTGTGTTGAGTTTGCTATATAGAATTATATAAAACTGTGAATTTTCTTTGTTGTTTATACCATCTTAAAAACCTTTTTCAAGATTTGCTTCCCTCGGCCTTATTTTATGACATCTTTTTAAAACAAACTAAAAGAGGAAACAGACACTGGTAAAAAAGGCCTTTAATGAAGACAAAATCACATTATTAAGCAGCAACCAGGTATGTTATATTACAGTACATAGTAACATGGTATATATTACATGCAGTGTAAGCATCAATATGCATTTTCAGATCAGAAGATAATACTGGGCTTTTTCCTAGCACTTATATGAAAACAGAAACCCCTTCAAGGTTTATTGCTGCATTTTCCTTCACAACAGGTGTCCGTCTGCCAAAGAGCTCCACAGTGCTGCTCTACTGGAATCTTGCCCAGAGAACAGCTTTGCCTCTCTGTGGTTTTACTCTTTTTTCAGACTGGCCAGCTCCCATCTCCCATCCCCACACAGCTTCAGTCTGGTGTCATGAAACTGAAAACAAAGAAACGCAGACACCTGACAGGTCTGGAGGGTCAGCCTTAGGTAACTCACGCCACTTTAAGCACAGCAAACGGCTGGGTGTGCACTGGGAAGCACACTGAATTGCAGATCATTCCAAACAGAAGACCGAAAGAAGGGTGGGAACTAGGTGAAAAGTCTTGTGCCACCATAAAAAATAAATCCGTACTTCTGTACTGACTGTCCAATGAAAAGGGTGACTATGTTGCTCACACTGAAGTTCCTGGAAATGAGCCATTATGATAGAAAAAGTTTGAGAAGCCCACTCAAGTCATCTGATATAGTATTTGTAATTTAGTTAGATATTCATGATCAACAACCTACCCTGCGTGTTATTATGAAGAACCTGAGGTATGATGTGATGTAAGAGATGGAAGACAAGACTTGATGGGTTGGTTTTAA